TTACCCATTCTCTAGTTAATCCTAGTTTCATGTTCATTATTCCTAGACATATGATAAAGTGTTCACATAAACATATGAGGTTAACAACTAAGAGATGTTCATGCAGCTTAATTGTCTTCCAATTAACAAAAAATAGTTGTGGTTAATGCATAAGGATCTTTAACAAACTTAATTTAATAAAATCACCAATAAGCAATCAATAAAAGTAATAATTAAACCATAGGAGTAAATTTGGCTTTTCCTAAACAGAAACAATATGAATTTAGCTCATGATTACAGTGGGAACAAGTTCAAACACGAATTTAACTAGGCTAAGCATGATTCAATCCTAAGATTAAGCGGAAAATATAACCTAATTTGCCTTGAGTCTTCACAAGATCAAAAGTTAGGGTTCTTCAGGTCTCCAAAGGGTTCTTTAATCGCAGGTGTATCTCCCAGGAAGCCAGAAAGTTCCCAATTCGGATTAAGATCCGCTATTTATAGTTATCACAAAACAGGGGCAACTCGGTGAGTAGGTCGTGTACTCGCCAAGTAGACGTGTGAAATCCGTGTACGGCAAGGATTCTTGACTTTTCTTCGGGAACATTCTCATGAACTCGCCGAGTAGGTGCGTGTACTCGCCGAGTAGGTGTGGGTGTTTTCCTTTTTCTTCATTCTTTGGTCTCTAATTGCTTCTCCTTATTCCTTTTTACCTCCAAGCATGTCTTTTGGACTGAAAACACAATTAAAGCATTATTAAGTACCTTTTGTCCACATTATGCACATAATTAGCTAAAAATGAATAAAAATCTATACTAAACATATGGCTAATTATGCAAATATCAACTTAGTTGACTTTCGGAGGACAGTTAGACTAAGTGTTATATTGATATTGGTAGCTCGGGGGAGCTAGTGGAGCAGAAGTTCAGAGAGTTGTCGGGCAGCAGCTAGAGGGATTATCAGCAAGTTCAGCAAGTGCAGGTGAGTTTCCCTTTTGTTTGAATGGGTCTACAGCCACAATGCCGGCCCATGTAGTTATGAGTAGGAAGACCCGGGGGTTAGCCCTAGGCACAATATGCTAGTATGATATTCAGGACGAGGTCCAATGTTAGCGGGCGGGTGCCCAAGGAATGGTCTGGATGATTGTTATACTTGTTGTCTGTGTGATACATGTATGTGCCTGGTAGGAAGGTGAGTGTGGGCGAGGTCCCGTATCTCACCAGCAGCAGAGTATGGACGGTGTTCCATATCTCATTAGCAGCAGAGTAGGGGCGAGGCCCAGGTTAGGGAAAGAGTGAGTGTGGGCCGGGCCCGTATCTCACTACCAGTAGGAGCGTGGACGGGGTTCCATGACTCATCTGTTGTAGGACATGGGCGAGGCCCAAGATAGGTGAGGCCTTTGGAACAGGATTCGGTAGTATATGTTTAGTGTATGTGTTGCGATATGTTTATGTGTTAGTATATGTTGGCAGGCGAGGCCTAAGCGAAACAGATCTGTATCCGAGCGGGGCTCGAAGCCAGGCGGGGCCTGGAGCGGCGGGGTCGTTGTAGCGGGCGAGGCCCGAGGTAGGGGGCGAGGCCCAGAATAGCGGGTGTGGCCCAGTATGTGCAGTATGCGTTTATGCATGGTATGTGGTAGGTTGGGGGAACTCACTATGCTTCGTGCTTACGGTTTTCAGTTTTGGTTTCAGGTACTTCCGGTAGCGGAGGAAAGAGCTCGGGGTGATCGCATGGCACAAACCATAGATTAGACAGCCTGGGATGTTTTACTCTGATAATGAACATATGTTTTGGAAATTAATACTCTGATTATGTTATGGATTGATAATTATGTTTTAAGTAATGTTTTATAAAAGAAATTTTTAGTCTTGAATTTTGGGACGTTACAAGACTGGTCGAGTATAAATGAATTGGGACGCGGGTTAAGAAACCTATTCGATGAATTGGGAGGCCTCAACTCGACGAGCAGGCTGGCAGAAATGAAACCCTAATTTTTAGGGTTTTTGTACCCTATTTAAAGACCTTAATGTTTCATTGTTGCCTCCCTCATCGTTCCCTTCGTCCAGTAAAACCCTAATTCGTGCTTTCTATCATTTTAAGTGTGTGTGAGTGTAAAGAGTGTTTTCTTTGGTGCTTTTCTTGAAGGAGCTTGAAGTTTGGTGTTGCTTAGTTGAAGGGAGAAGCTTTGGATCTGGGAATTCCTCTGTTGTGGCAGCCATATTAAGATATAAAGTCGATACCTTGACCATTTATTTGATAGATCTCTTCATTGAGAAGTTTATGGCCTTTAGTAGCTTATTTTAGAGTCATTCTTGGATTTGAGCATGTCTTGAAGTTATGACTTTAGATCTTGACATTTCATGGCCTTTTGAGACTTAAAGTTGCCAGCTTTATCAAGTCTAGGCCCTCCTCCATGCCCTAGGTCTCTTATGAAGCTTAGTTTTAGTGTTTTTAGCCTCTTGATACCATGCATATACGTAAAGTTAACAAATTTACGTGGTATCTCAACCCTAGGGGACCAGATCTATGGCTTGGAGGCATTAGACTCGCTTGGAAGTCACTGAACGAGTTGCTTATCTAACTCAGCGAGTTGGATCGTGGTCCCCCGACCTTTCTGATTACTGAGCAAACTCGGCGAGTTGTTGAGATGACTCGGCGAGTTGGCTAGGGTTTTCTCGGTTTTCCGAAGACTGAAGGAACTCGGCGAGTTGATAGATACATTCGACAAGTTGGGTCAACCTGGATTGTTGACCTTGACTTTGACCATGGTTGACCAAGTTTGACTTCTGGGGGCATTTTGGGTATTTTGGGATTTTGATGGATTGATCACTTGGTTCAGGGATTGAGTAGATCCGATTTCGAGACAGAGACGTTTCAGCTATCATCCGACATTCCAGGTGAGTTTCCTATTTGTTCGAACGGGTCGAAGGCACCAATGTCGGCCCGTATTTATGATAGTATTAGTTCCGGGCTACGGTACGATGCCAGGCAGTGCCCGATGTAGGTATATGTGTTCTCCGGATTACGATCTGATGTCGGGCAATGCCCGAGGAATGTTTGTATGCTTGATGTCTTCGTGATTCTTGTATGTGTCTGTATTTGTATGCTACCGGATTACGGTCTGATGCCGATCGATGCCCAAAGAATGTTTATATGCTTTCCGGACTACGGTTCGATGTCGGGCAATGCCCGAGGAATGTTTATATGCTTATGTTATGTGATTATATTATATGTGTATTTGTTGATATGTAATATGTATACCGAGCTTTTGCTCGATGCCGGACGGGGCCCGATGTCGGACACTGTCTGATGTCGGGCAGGGCCCGATACCAGACATTGTCCGATGCTGGGCGGGGCCCACGATATGCTTATATGTGATTATGTGATTATGTGTATGGTATGTGGTAATTTGGGGAAGCTCACTAAGCTTTGTGCTTACGGTTTTCAGTTTTGGTTTAAGGTACTTCTGGTAGCAAGAGGAAGAGCTCGGGATGACTGCATTGCACACACCATAATGTTTAGCCTGGGATGTTTTACTCTGATGTTTTGATTTGGGAACAATGTTTTGAGATACTATGACTTGTGTTTTGATGAAATGTTTTGATAACTATGGTTTTATTTAATAATTTAAAAATGAAATTTTTTGGACCGTATTTTATGGGTGTTATACGACGCCTTTGAACAATGTACCACATTCGATACCAGTTTCCTTAATTTTGATGTGATAAGGCTTAACTTTCTTTATGCAAAGTGCTCCATTCAATTTTTTGGGAATAACTTCAAATAATGTTCTAAACACAAGGTCCACGGAGGGTTGCGGGTGAATTTAACGCCATTTTAGATGTGTTTGAAAAGGATGGTGGCAAACCTCCAATCTTGTACTCATTGCAATGATTAATGATTGTGGCATCATTGACTGCGATAGAGAAAGTTGGTCAAATAAGCAAGAGTAAGGGCTTTATTGGGTGAGGCTTGATAGAGTTTTCACTAATCTAACTTATTGCTATGATTTATGGGAGTCTTAGTTTAGGGGTAAATGATTAGATTGAAGCTCAAAAAGCCTCGATAAAGAAAGTTTCAAAATTATGTGATGTTGTTGAAGCACCCATTTGTAGTGCTCGTGAGATTTTTTCCATTAAAATAAGTCATCCAAGGATCTATTGCCATATTGAGCTTCTTGGTCTATATATGGTGAAAGGCAATGATGCTAACCATGAATGCAAGAGAGTTAGTTGATTTTGTAAAACCTTGACCGGATTGTGGTTTGGCTTTATACCATCCTTGTATTGAAGATACTTCAAAACCAAATGATGCAGAGCCTCTGAATTATTCAATGCTAAATCATTCAGAGGTTGCCAAACAAGTCGTAATCAATTCTCATATCTTAGAAAAAATAAATGAATTACCTCTAGAGAATATACTTTGAATTGTTCCAATTGTGATGGGTAGGATTTAACCTCTTTGAGATTTTGGATAAACACCTCGCCTCTAAATGAAGCAGAAGCGTTTATTAACACCACATAAAATGTAAAATGTCTAAATATTTTGAAGCATTTTAGGTATACTTTGTTTTCAAAAATATTATAATAATAGTTAATACAAAAGACTCCCATCTTTTTCAAAGTATATACAATAAGTCTTTTGATTTTTCTTTTCTTATTTATCCCTCATTTAAGAATATCGAAGACAGCTGGAATGACAAATTAGTCAAGCCGCTATTAACAAATTGCTCAAATGCTTATAATCCTTAAAAAGTTTAATTTTAAAAATAACATAAGTAATTTAATAGTAGTTTTTGATAATTATATGTTGTAAATTAATTATTATAACATTATTATAAAAAAAATAAACATTTTGATTCGTATTAAAATCTTATACAGTCTGTACAATTTTTTACAAAGAAGAGTCCAAGAGTATAGATCCCGCCACCATACAATAAGATATTAAACAGAAATATAATGAAGCAAACGTGTTCACAGGTGATAGCGACATGATTGAATATTCTACCATTTTTGTCCATGTAGAAAAGTTAGCAATCTTTCTTTCTCCCTTTTGTAACAGTAATACCACGGATAATAAGGTCTCTGAGTTTAGAAAGTTAGCAGATGGAGACACCTGAACCACTCCAGATACTTGGGAGAAACGATATAAAACGAAACACATCCATCTCCATTCATAAATTTCTTATCTTTTAGCAACATGACGCTTACAACGCCCCTTGTATGCGTTTTCTTTCCTTTTTGTATTCTTTCTTTCAACTCTGTTTACACTTTACCTCTTCTTCTTCTCCATCTAACTTTTTACTTCATCACTGGTTCTAATGGTGATGACTTGCATTCATAACAGGTTGACAACAGAAGCGAAAGGGAGAGAGCAATCGACGAATGGCTTCCGGTTACCTCCTCCCGGAACGCCAAATGGTGGTACTCCGCCTTCCACAACGTCACCGCCATGGTCGGAGCTGGTGTTCTCAGTCTCCCTTACGCCATGTCACAACTCGGCTGGTCAGTCCTCTCTCTCCGTTGACCTGAAACACAAAGATGAAAACAGATTTTGTGCGTTCCGATCAGCATCCATCATAATTGGGAAACAGTTGTTTTGCCCTAATAATTGTGAAATCGTTCTATTGATTTGAATTTCAGGGGTCCTGGAGTATCAGTACTGGTAATCTCATGGGTCGTAACTCTCTACACGCTCTGGCAAATGGTTGAGATGCACGAAATGGTTCCCGGAAAACGATTCGACAGATACCATGAGCTCGGGCAGCATGCTTTTGGGGAAAAACTCGGTCTATACATCGTCGTTCCACAGCAGCTCATCGTTGAAGTCGGTGTCAACATCGTGTACATGGTGACCGGAGGGACATCATTGAAAAAATTCCACGATCTGGTATGTAACGACAGCTGCAAAGACATCAGACTCTCTTACTTCATCATGATCTTCGCTTCTGTCCACTTCGTCCTCTCTCATCTCCCCAATTTCAATTCCATATCTGGAGTTTCACTCGCTGCAGCAGTCATGTCGCTGAGTTACTCCATTATTGCGTGGTCGGCGTCTTTGGCAAAGGGTGTACAGCCGAACGTACAGTATGGATACAAATCGAGTACAACAGCAGGGAAGGTTTTCAGTTTTTTTAGCGCATTGGGTGATGTTGCTTTTGCATATGCTGGGCATAACGTGGTGTTAGAGATTCAAGCAACGATTCCTTCAACACCTGAGAAGCCTTCAAAGGGTCCCATGTGGAAAGGGGTGATTGTTGCTTATATCGTTGTGGCTGTTTGTTATTTTCCGGTGGCCATTATTGGGTATTGGGTGTTTGGAAACGAGGTCTCCGATAATATTCTCATCAGTTTGGAGAAGCCTACGTGGCTCATAGCCATGGCTAATTTGTTCGTTGTTATTCATGTTATCGGAAGCTATCAGGTTCAAAATCTCTTCTTTACCTAAAAAGTCTCAATCTTGTAGTAGTAAAACAAATCTAAAATTATTATTATTTTTTTTTGCTTTTCTTTTGTAGATTTATGCAATGCCAGTTTTTGATATGATTGAAACTGTTCTTGTCAAGAACTTAAACTTCACACCTAGCTTTACACTTCGATTCATCACCAGGAATCTGTATGTTGGTAAGTCAATTAATCGTACAGGGGCAAATGAGTAAAATTAAACTATTCTTTCTGATGCATACAATTTAGTTACAATGTTTTGTTTCCTTTTACCACAGCATTAACAATGTTCATTGGGATTTTGCTTCCCTTTCTTCGGTGGACTTTTGGGATTCTTTGGTGGATTTGCATTTGCCCCAACAACATATTTTGTGAGAAACTTCTTCATTCATCTCATTCTTCTTTTTGGAGTCTCTTGATATAATTTAAATTTATGTTTTGTTAAAATTGTGCTAGTTACCTTGCATCATGTGGCTTACAATCTATAAACCAAACAAGTGGAGCCTATCTTGGATTGCCAACTGGGTATGCAGCATTATCTAAACAATCACTTGCTTAATTTTCAACCAGTTTATTTATGTACATATAAATATATTTCTGGTGTCACAAATTTCAGGTGTGTATCATACTCGGGGTTGCCTTGATGATTGTATCACCTATTGGAGGGTTAAGGCAGATCATTATTGAAGCCAAAGATTATGAATTCTTCTCTTAAAAGAATTAAAGAGGCTAGCATAGCAGATTGAGTCATATTTAAAAGAAGCTCTTGATGGTATATGGAATAAGGAGCAATTGTTTGATTTGATGGTGTTATAAATTATTTTTATATGTATATGTGTTAAAAGTATTATGAGTTGAAAGATTGTTTAGAAGGGAAAGTGGCCATGGAATCAGTCAAGGAATTTACTTGCAAGATGTTTCAACCCTTCCCTTGATACATTTATTATACCCACATTGTGTATGCATATCTGTATATGTATTTCCACTGTAAAATTATAAAGATATTCATGTGAATTCAATTCAATTTGCTATTTTTTTTTTTTTTACTATGACATCAGTGGGTTGTTTCCTTGCTTAACTTGACTTGTAAATTTGTAATATTTCCCTATGAACATGTTGATTGTTTGACATACAGAAACAAAGAACCTAACTTTGTATAAAACATATTTCCAGTTACAAAAATCATATACCTGACCTGAAGGCAAAGTCAATGTAATTTGGTGAATCCTATTCCTAGGAGTTAAAAAGAATATTTATTTTCCTGTTAACTTGTAATCATTCAACAAAAGTTGTTTCGTGATGGAAAGTTTCCAACAAGGAACCTACAAAGTCTAGTCCTAGTATTCCCAGATCAATTGAAATGAAATTCATATTGCCAAATCAAATTAGGAATATAAACAAGCTTTCTCAATCACTTCAAACATGCTCACTTCTGCCTATATTTTGCCTTATTAAATTACAACATGGAAGAACAATGGATGAGGAGTGTCAGATTATAATCCTGTTGTTGCAGTATTTATAGAATATTCATGGCAGCTAAAGTAAATGACTGTAATTGCAATGTACATAGAACAAAATACATATACATAGCTCAGGAAACTAATAACCCCATGAAACATTCAACTCAAAAGTCAAAACAAGAAGATTGAAGATGCCATCAACAACATTTATTGCACTATTTCAAAAGGCTAACACAGGTACATGATTTTGTTTGAAATCAAGATTCAAGGGAAGGGATGATTCATACAGGGGATATTGTGTTATAGCCCAAAACCTGAAAAGTATTTGATTAATGTTCCTATCTATTTTTCTGGTCCTCAGGTATCACTATTCTTCCACTATACAATTCAAGCCACCGGTTATAAATCCAAAGTACACTAACCGAAATGGCTGCAATGACAACAGAGATCCAAGAAACCCAAACCCACCTAGGAATAACATCATCTGCATCCCCAGATAGATAAAAAACGAGCATCTTGTAAACAAAAACAGGCCCAAACAAACCTCTAACAACAGAATACAGTGCATAAAACGGAGGAGACAAAACAGCAAACACCTGGGCTGCAATCTTGGAGTCGGTTTTCCGCACTCTTGCCAGCGTCCAAACGTTTTGAAAGAAGCTGGTGACCTCCGCCAGTATCAGTAAAATCAGAATGCCATACGCTCCATGAAACACCAAGTATCGACATGTTATAAACACAAAAAGGGTGGCCAAATGGTGTGCTATGAAGAGGACATCGCTAGGGTTGAAGATGAGATAATGAGAAAGATCCATGACGAAGTATGCAATGCTGTATTCCAGGACGGTGTTTTGAAAATCGGTGTTGATCGATGCGAATCCACGATTGGAGTCGGAAAGGATGGCGTGACAGGCCAAGAAAACAGCAGGTGTGCCATGCGCGAGTGACATCAAACAGCTAGCAGCTTCCGGCCGGAGCTTCGGAGTCCAGTTTCGGAAGACGGTGATATGGGCAGTCAAGTAAATTGCAAAGAACATGGAAAAAAAGAGGGGAAGATTTGGGAGAAAAGAATCTAGAATTGGGGAATCCATTATTCTTGAAACCCTAAAACACAAAACAAAATGCCGTTGCTTGAAACCCTAATTCGCAAAATTGAAGGTCAAACCAAAGGAGAATCTTGTATGAATTGATGAAAACGGTTGTTGGGGGAGAGGTGGATAGATGAACAATATGCTATATATATGTTATTGTATGTATATATAATGATGATTTGATGGAGGGAGGGAGGGAGAGGGTAACGTATTTTACGAGACGATGGAAGAATTGAGATGCTGAAAAAGCAAAAACCATGTGGCAGCTTCTCCAATCGTCAACCGCCAAACACAATGGTTAACTTTTGAATTGTGGCTTTCACTTCAAATATTAGTTATTATATAATAAATCCAATTTTATAATTCTCGCTTACCTTTTCGTTACTCAATAAACAAGAGGACTTATGGAGACATTAATATATGCAATATTATTTGTATAAACATGTGAATGATGCAAGCATTTAAGATAATAACTTAAATATATATATCATAATGAACAACTTGATAAAGATGTTTGATTCGTCAATCTAACCTCTCTTCACCCATTTTGCCTTAGACCATGTGAAATGGTCATCATGAACACTTTCTTTGTTGATGTAGTAATATCCTCAGATGTTAGTAGTGGCTAGTGGTTAGTGAATTAAAAAATAACTACCATAAAAAAAATGATCAATTATGGTGGAAAGGACATGACATCCAATGAGCTTTCTTTCTTTCTCTTGGCTTTCTATACTCTCTATCTCTTTCTAACTCTTTCTATCTTTCTCTACAATAAAATACATATTTTTCTATTTAAAAATCAAAAAATAAGAAGGATATAGTGGTTGGTATACCAATATTTTACTGTTTGTATGTGGTAATGAAGTGACATCCACCCCTGTGGTTGTTAGTGATGGGTATTACAGATGACCTTATATACGCTAACAACTTTAGTTTTCGATTTTATCTGTAGCTTTGTTTTTTATATCACTTTTGTATTGAATTTATTAGATAAAATGTTATTAAATTTAATATTTTGTAACAATAGACTATATTTTGGAAAACTTGTTAAAATTAATTAATTTACCATCATTTTTTTTAAATATTATATAAATTCTCCTCGTCTAGTTTGTTATTTTTAATCATATATAATATTTATAAAATATAAAATATTTAACAAAAATAAATTCAATATATTACTATAGACAAAATTAATATAAATACTATGTAAAATCCGAATTCTTGAAGGTATTTAAATTTAATGTGGTTTGGATTTTTGGGCGGTACCACGTCGTGGTAAAGACATCCCACGACGTCGTGATGGTTAATGTATCGCGGGTTTTAAATGACCGCCACGGCGTGACATTTGTTTAATGAGAAACCCTAATATCCGAGGTTTAGGCCATATTTAAGGGAATGTGATGGCTAAGGTTGCTCACCCTCAGCCTCCATCACACTCTCCCAGCCTCCAAGCAAACCCTATTCTTCGTTTTTGCTCTCTAAGCATTTTGTGTTGATTTTTGGGATTAGAAGAATACTGAGGTGATTTCTAGACTTGGATTCAGCAAGCAACTCTGCTCACCATCTTATTGTGCATCTTCTGGACTCTTGTAAGTCCCCAAGTTCCAAGCTTTTTGGTTTATCGTGCATAGATCTAGGTTCCTATGCCTTAATTTGTAGGCTTTTGAGCATTCTAACACTCCTAAGGTGTACATGCAACCCTAAATACATTGGATCTATGTTTTCTCTATTATACATGCAAACTTGAACTTTCCAAGGTATTACCCTAACTAGCATACAAAACTTTGATACTTGGGTAATAAAACAAGTTAGATAACATATCTTTTCTTGTAGCTTGTTGCTTGGAGCTTTAAGAGCTTAGCACCAATAATGTAAATGCCTCAAGTGGAATCACAAATCACCACTAACACTTAGAAGACTTGGAAGAGAACTCTTTTGCTCACAAAAATCGGCCACACTCTTGCAAAGGCTCTAGGTGTCCATTTCTTGAACCAAAGGGCTTCTTATATAGTGTGGTTACATTAGGGTTACACCATGTAAACCCTAATGTGCATGACTTTCCACATTCCTCATGATCCATGGGTTTTAACCTCCATGGAGTATCCATGGGTCACCACATGGGTTAAGCCCAACATAAGGAATCATGGATTATTAGCCCATATTATAAGAATGAATGATTTACACAATCAATACCTATTTATTTAATTAGTCTCTTTTGACCACAAAATTAATTCCAAATTAATTCTTGATCAATACTAATTATGTAACATCCCATTTTTCAAGTAGCTTCAAATTCATCCCTCGGATTTGAATTATGTCACTTTTGGCCCTTGGGTTTGGAAGGAAGTGGAAAGAAAGGACCATGCATTGTAAAGGTGGCAACTGGGTGTGTACGCCCAGCGTAAGCTGCCCAGCGTAGAAGGTTAAATGGTCGTGGGTGTTGGAGGCGTACGCCAAGCGTACGAGATGTACGCACAGCGTACGCTCAGTGACACTAAACCCTAATTTTAGGGTCGAGCACTATATAAAGAACATGAGGACTTGAACCCTAGCCCCTTATCAGCCTCCCCAACCTCAGAAAAACCCTAGAACGTCTCATCCCTTCATTTTTGTGTGATCTTGATCTTGAGAGGCCATCTTGGTGATTTTTAAGCTTGGAAGAGAAAAGAAGAAGTTGGCAAAGAAGGACTTGGGAAGTTTGAGCTTAAAGATCTAGAATAACATCATCATTTGAGACTCTTTGGGGGTATAAAGTTCATAACTTTCCTCAAGAATGCTTAGATTTAGTGTAGTTTGATTTTGAAGTCATTTTGGTCCCAAATATAGAACTTTATGGTTCAAATCCGATTTCTGGACTTAGAGTTGCCACTCTCAGTTCAAAATGGGTCCCTAAGGCAGAAAGTTGTCATCTTGAATGTCTTATTGGATTCATGCATGAGTTAAGATCATTTCTATGAGAATGGAATGCTATTTTGGAGTTTGGGCTTATTAGGGTCATGCAAAGTCGCCAAGTCAGTGACTTTATGGATTAAGACATGGAAAAGGACTTGGATTTGTGATTGTAGCTTCTGGACTGGAGTATTAAGCACTTAATGGGAAAGTGACTTATCATGGGAGTACGCTAAGTGTACATGCAGGTACGCCCAACGTACTCACCATTTTGCGAGTACGCCTCGCGTACCAGAGAAGCACGCCCCGCGTACGTCCTCTGTTGGGCCTTTGACAACTGGGCTTCGGGTTTTGGGTTGTTTATGGACTAGTTGGATTTGGGCCTTTGCTAGACTGTATGAATATAATGTTTTTGTAACACTCTATTTATTTATTTATTAAATAAATAATTTAGTAAGCAAATAGTAGCCCTAAAATAGATAATTATATGTCAAAGGTTGGTCTCGAGGAGTTAATTGTCACACTCTAGGAGATTGGGGGTTAAAAGTGTAAATCCGGACTTAATTTGTAAGTTTTATGGAAGGCAAGGACTAAATGGAAATTATTAGGACTTCATGGAAGAGATTTTGGAGACCTAGGGGCTGTTTGGTAAATCAGGTATCAGATTTGAAGGGGATTTCCGAAGCTGGGGTAGAAAGGGTAAATTTTGGGCTTAGTTTGAAAAGATATGAGAAGAGAGGGGCTAATTGTGCCATTATGGAAAAAAAATGTTTAAGGGTGTCGGGTATATAGGGAATAAACCCTAACCCTATTGACCATTTTATGCAGCCGACCTTATACCTCCCTCCAGCCGCCGTCCTCACCTTCCCATCTTTTATTCCCAGCGTCACCCACCCTTGCCACCGCTATTAGCCGCCGCTGTCACCTGTCGGAGTATTCTCAGCCGTTACTACCGTCTAACCCCCCCCCCCCTGATGTTCCTCTCGCCGGTGAAGTCGAGGTTGAATCCGTAGGTGCAACGTCTGTCAGCCGGTTGGGCGGTTGCGGTGTCACTGCCATGGCGAAACGCCGTCTGCTGCCGCCATCCATTTTCGCCGTGTTCTTCTTCTTCTACCTTTTTCTTTATTTCTCCGGTGCTACGACCACCAGTCGTGTGTTACCACCGCCGATCTTCAGGCTTGTTTATGTGGGAGTATATCTCTTAGCTGGGAACCAAAAGAACCACCGCCACCACCAGGAGGTGGTGGTTGTTATGGTAAGAGGTTGATATCGCCGCCGTTGGCCATCAGAAAGGTGGCTGGATGATTGAAGAACGAAGCACAGGTGGGTGTTGGGCTCGCCTTGCAAGCAAAACGTGTGTGTGTGTGTGTTTTCGGTTATTGTGTGTGTTGTGTGTTGGCCGGAAAACCGAGAACAGCCACCACCACCACCGTGAGGTGGTGGCTGCCGCCATGTGCCGCCTGTGTGTGTTAATTTTGTTAGTGTGTGTTTATTTTGAGCTTAGCATTGTAATGTGTGTAAATTGCAAATTGGAATAATGAAAGAAATTGAAAACCACCACCTTAGGGTGGTGGTTGCCGCCACCGGCCGCCGTGTCGGGTGGCGGTGTGCTTTGCCTCGTGGTGTTGATTCGTTTGGGGTGCTTGAAACCCTAATGGGCCCAAAGAAGCTCAAATGGGCCCAATGAAGCTTAATGGACTCTAATGGACCCAATAAAACCCTAATGGGCTTAATAATATTTTAGTGGGCTTAATAGGCCCAATAAAGCCCTAAATGATCTAAAAGCCCAACAAATTAATAAATGGGCTAGTATTTGGGTTGGAAACCCTAATTAGGGTTTGGGAAAACCCTAATGCCATCAAAACCCTAATTTTGGGGAATTAATCGAGACACACGGGACTTATTAATAACTTGGAATATTAAATAATAATCATTGGCGGAAATTAATCTAAGCAATATTAGTCCTTAATGGATTAAGTCCTTAATGGGTTAAGTAGGAAACTTAACCCTAATCATCATTTTATGTGAAACCCTAACTTCACTTGGGTTTATTATTGGGCCTTGATGATTGGGTTATTAAATGGGCTATCCAAGATCAAGCAAATGGTCTA